AGCATATCTGGTGGCTCAGATGGTCAACATTCTGACTTGCAGGAGACCTGAGTTTGATCCCTGGGTTGGGAAGATCCCCTGGAAAAGAAAATGACAACCCACTCCAGTACTTTTGCCTGGAGAATTCCATGGACAGAGTAGTCTGGCAGCCTCCAGTCCATGGGGTCACAAAGAGTCAAATACGACTGAGTGACCAACACACATACACACAATTGCAAATAGTAGATATTTAATAAATATTTGTTAAAGAATTAATAAGCTAATTTCTGTGGCCAGCCTTCCCCAAGTCTGCAGCATTCCTTCATAGAATTCTACCACTCTTCTCAAGTCTAATGTTTGCTCCCAGCTGTGGAGGTTTGAAGCCACAAATTATTGGCAGTGCTTCCCTACCACAGCCCCTGAAGACCCTACTGGTGTTTTCTTCCTGGTCCATCTGTGGTTGGACATGACAGGTGCGCCAGTGAATTTGGAAGGTGACTGGCTGCTGTCTCACGGAGTTCTTAGGGGCAGGTGCATCCCTCCAAGGGAGCCGATGGAAGGGCTCTCGGTGCAGGGGACAGACCTCTAGGAGTCATAGGACACCTGGGTTTTCCAACTGCTGATCATTTGTTTTGCCTACATCAGGTATCATTCGAGGTCACCCACCTTCTGAGGCTGCTTTTGTGATTGCTGACTTCACGTCCTAGGCTGCTAAGGCCTCACTCAGCCCGCCATGTACAACGTGGTAGGCCATCTTCAGTTAACAGCGTGGGTTCTTTAGCCTTTCAGGATACTTGCTTTTTTTAATTTTTTTTAATTTTTATTTATTTATTTATTTTTTACTTGCTTTTTTTTAAATAGGCAGCTCTCAGAGTATTCATACTACACCTCTACTGATGAAATCACCAGGCATCTTGAAAAACAGTGAAGAAGCTGAAGGGTTCTGTCTGTAGGACTCCAGTGAGGCTGACCTCTGTCCTACTCCCTATCATATGCTGGCTCCATTTGCTGTACTGCTGATGAAAGGAAGAAACTGATATCTTGAAGTATCTGTGCAAAGTATCGGGCGTTTCCCCAAATCTCTCTAACCTTGCACAATTCCAGGTCATTGGCAGAGTAGAAGTGCCATCCAACACATGTTGTATAGCACTAAGATATAGATGTTAAAACTGCAAACTCACTGGACCAAGTGATATGGGACTTTAAAATGATCATTCAGATAATTTAGGCAAGCAAACAAAACAACTAAAAGAACACACAAAAAATGTGATTTTTTTGTACCTGTTTTTTATATGACAGGGGCAGGAGAGGCAGAGGAAAGGACTGCAGGAATACTTAAGGGATTATTTCTTACGGTAGAAGGAGGGACAAATTTGAAACCTTTACAATATACCTATAAAATTATTCCACTTTTCTAAGTGGTCTTGCTGTGGAATCCAGAGAGTGTGGATATGTAATTCACAAGTAATTTATCAGTTTTTAAATAAGACCTGCAACAAATCCAAGAAAGTTAGGTAAACTAGATGGTGGTATCATAGGAAAAATGAAATTTACCAGTGTTTTCTCTCTTTGAGCATTCAATTTAGAGTCTCCTAACTGGCATTGAAAGTCACATATGAATATTGAATATTTAAAAGTTTTCATATGACCTGAATATTTTCCTTTTGACAGTAAAAATATTTTATACTTACAGCCAAAATAGAGTATAATAGGGCATAAGTTGTCATTCATACCTGATGTATAAAAGAACTATATTTCCTTATTTATCATATGATTAGTTTGAATTTGCAGTTTATTTTTAATGTCTGTTTGTCAGCTGGAGAAATAGATTATGAATTGCTATTGTGTACCTTTTCAGTGTTTCCACATTTTGAAAATTAATTAAATATGGCAAGTTACTAAACCTGTAGAACTTACATGAATTTTCTAATCTTTTCATCAAGAAGGGTATTTTTGACAGGAGATCTTTTTTGGTGTTTGTCATTTTAAAAATATTCCTACTAGTTTTATGGCAGAGAAATCTTTGTTTCAAAACTGTGGCAGTCTCTGGGGGAAATAAATATTTCCAGCTTAAATTCTGTTGATAGTATTGTTGTTAATAAGTAAACTAAAGTTTCTAATTCCATTCTGTTTCCTCCACATGAAGTATATTAAAAAGTTCTTTACTGATCCTCTATAAATTAAAAATTAAAAGGAAGGAAACAGAGTTAAACGAGCAGTCTGTGCAGACTTTGTGTTGAGGTTCTTCAGGACCTTCGAGATAAAGAACCTTGTTCCCTGGTGACCCTGGAGAAGGGAATAGCTACCCACTCCAGTATTCTTGCCTGAAGAACTCCATGGGCAGAGGAGCCTGGTGGGCTACTGTCCATGGGTTGCAGAGTCAGACATGACTGACCGACTAACAGTATCACTTAACTTTGAAATACTCTGGTGGGGTGGAGCCTTATTGGAGGTGACTTTTAATGGGGACGCCAACACTGAGATGTCACCTGCTGCCACACACACTCTCCCCTTGGCCTTGTGTCTCTAGAGCCCCAGAAGGGAGCCCTCGGTTCTCCTGGTTGTCTTGTTTCTCCCTACACTCTTTTTGACCTGTGCCTCTTAGACAAAACACTAACATCATCCTTTCTGTCATCTTAGACCTGACTCATTACCAGATATATTTGGTCAATATTACATTTCTTCCTTTCAAAGAAATACCACTTCATGTCAAGTGGCTCTTTTATTTTTCCCCTTTTCTCTGATTCAGTTACAGGGTCTGAGGAAAACTGAGACATAAGTGATGTTGATTTAGATTCTCCACCTTCCTATTCATCCCTCCCTGGCTCCACCCACTTCCAGCATGTTCTTGGATTGTGATTCAGACATAGCCTGCAAGGGCCCAACCATCTTCAAAACCACCACTTAGCCAGCCCATTCTTCAACATGAATTGGTTTGTGGCTGGTGAGCGTACAGTGGGTTATTGCTCATATAATTAGTTGCATTTTCACTGAGATAAAGTTCTTACCAAATGCAGGATCACGGTTGAGCCGAAGCAGAACTAACTCTGGAAAATGGGACTTTCCAGAAACATCATTTATGGAAGAGAATTTGTGGCCTGATATCATTACTTCATTCGAGGGGACAGAGTGAGGTGAGAGCAAAACTGAAAGCAGTTTATACCTACAGGCCAGGCAGGGAAGAGGAGGTCAGACCCTCCCAACTTGGACCCAATGCCTCAGCTTCTCGTTCCTCTCTGTACCTGCTTGTGTTTGTATCTGTTGTCACTGCTGTAAACACTTCCCGCACCTGGCACCTCACAGGATGAGGTGAAGGGAGAGGCAAAGGACTGCTGGGAAGTTGCCAGGATCTTGGGCCAGTGCCAGGAAATGGCAGATTTTCATGTCCAGAAATAATCCTAAGGCATGACATCCAGTAGTCATGTATGGATGTGATAGTTGGACTATAAAGAAAGCTGAGCACTGAGGAATTGATGCTTTTGAACTGTGGCGTTGGAGAAGACTCTTGAGAGTCCCTTGGACTGCAAGGAGACCCAACCAGTCCATCCTAAAGGAAATCACTCCTGACTATTCTTTGGAAAGATTGATGCTGAACCTGAAACTCCAGTACTTTGGCCACCTGATGTGAAGAACTGACTCATTTGAAAAGACCCTGATGCTGGGAAAGATTGAAGGTGGGAAGAGAAGGGGATGACAGAGAATGAGATGGTTGGATGGCATCACCGACTCAATGGACATGGGTTTGACACAACTCCGGGAGTTGATGATGGACAGGGAAGCCTGGTGTGCTACAGTCCATAGGGTTACAAAGAGTTGGACACGACTGAGCGACTGAACTGAACTGAATTAATGACTTCTGAGGACAGAACTACCCGCACCAGAGTATTCACATCCTGAATTTTGTTGTGCTGATATTTACTCTTCAACAGTAGCCTCTTTAAAGCAGTATACAGATAAGTCACCATCCAAGACTTAGCCTGCCTCTAACTGCCATCCACGAAGGTAAATGAAAACAGACCAGTCAGTGATGTTTTCTATACTGTCAGCACCCATCTGACAGCCTCAATAAATTTCCCTTCAAAAACTTGCTGTATAACATCAAGCCTTCCTTCTCTGTTCCTGGTTGGTTAGGGTGTATCACATCTGCCATGCCATTTTTGGCTTTTCTAAGGATGCTGCTGCTGTTGTTGTTTAGTTACTAAGTTGTGTCTGATTCTTTTGTGACCTTGTGGACTATAGTCTGCCAGGCTCCTCTGTCCATGGGGTTTCCCAGGCAAGAATACTGGAGTGGGTTGCCATTTCCTTCTCCAGGGGGTCTTCTCAACTCAGGGATCAAACCCATTTCTCCTGCTTGGCAGGTGGATTTTTCTAACGATGTACTATTTAATTGTAGCATCAGAAGCATTTGTAACACCCTGAAAGCCTAATAAAGTTGCCATTGGCCTAAGGTCCTCCCTGTTATTTTAAACCACAGGCTTTGTAAGCAGGAGTCATGGCTTGTGACCATCTGATCTCCTTGACTGTATCCCACACACTAAGGATCTTTTAAGTTGTCATTATGTCCTGACACAAGCATTTACCATATCTTTAGGAGCATGTGTGGTTCAAGATGAGAGGGCAAGAAAGGGCTGGATTGTTTATTATTAAACTGACAGGAAACAGCCATGGCTCATGCACCACTGGTTTTAGTTGGGCAAAAGAGGATAAATTAATTTCTTTATAGAAATTGTTTTCTGCATTCTTTAGGGAAAAATTTTCCATGTGGGCCAGATTATCAAACTGAGCAATTTTAAGTTCAATAGCTTTGACATTGTCCTTTGAAGGAATGAAACAAACAACTGATTTCATCTGAGGAAAAGACCATTTATAATAATCTATCTACTTTGCAGATAATATTCACAGTAGACTCATCACAACAGAATCCCCTAATATCCCCATAATATTGGGGTTTTCATTGTTGGGACTCTCCCCTTTTTTCCCTTTAAATGCTTCCTTGTGTTTGAGGAATAAGATTTACTTACCTGGAGCAGCTGCTGATTCTTTTCCTCTCAATCCCAAGTTTATTCAAGTACTGTCAGCTGGAAATTAACAACATCAGTGGCTTCCCTGGTGGCTCAGACGGTAAAGTGTCTGCCTGCAATGTGGGAGACCTGGGTTCAATCCCTGGGTTGGGAAGATCCCCTGGAGAAGGAAATGGCAACCTACTCCGGTACTCTTGCCTGGAAAATTCCATGGACTGAGGACTAGGCTGCAGTCCATGGGGTCACAAAGAGTCGGACACGACTGAGCGACTTCACTTCAAAGGACATAAAGGGAAAAAAACAAAAAGGACATAAAGGGGAGGAAAACCAATTTTACAAAGTAAGGACTGTTGGCTAAAAGGGTTGATGGTATGTGTATAATTCCAGGGAAGGGCTTCCTGAAGGATGGGGGAGGTCAACAGTGTGTGATGAAAAGAAAGGTCAACTTGGAACTGCATGGAGAGAGGTCAATAGCTGCCCACTGTGTCAAAGACAGCTTCTGCACGGAAGCCTGAATTAAAGATGGGAGGGGTTGGAGGAAGGGAAGGCTGGGTGGTCAGGGGATGAGGAGAGATACGGAGCTTAAGGATGAAGGGAAGGTTTTCTTCTCTGACGGAACTGAGTTGAGCAAGTTTCTAGGAAGAAGTGAGGAGTTGGATGGAAAATGCTCGCCAAGACTGTATATGAAACATCTGATGAGGAAAGACCCTGAATGAAAACTTGAATGACAATTCTGTTTCAGTACGACTTTTGCTTTCTCCATCCCACATCACCCCACCATAAAATATTTGGTGCGTGAACAGATTTTGGATTTCAAAGGACTTCACTTTTTTTGTGCTCGAGATTTGTTCCTTGGTGAAACATGAAGAGATAGCTCTGCACAAAAAAAGAGAATCATAGTTAATGAAAAGCCAACCTTCAGAAATTGCTCTTAACTCTTTTAACCACTGCTGATATGGGTATTTGAATTATGTTTGCAACATATTCCAAAACTACTTACTTGTGGAAGGATTAATGATATTGGAGCAGGGTTCAAAGTCTCAGTGGCAAGCTAAAACCTGTTCTCTTCAGTAGTCAGGGTAAAGTTTAATAACCCTTCTTCAGAAAGCCTACCATGCTGGGCTTTCCATTGCTAAGCTGCTGGAACAGGAAAATGCCAGAAATTTAACCCTTATAGCAGTTATGTTATGCAAGTTACTTAACCTTTGTTGGCCTCAGTTTCCTAATTTGTAAAGTGAAGATGAGGTTTGTTGGAGCATTAACTGGGCTAATTAAAACAGTCCCTGTCAAACAGCAAGCACCAAATAATTGTGAGCTAGCCTTATAATTGTAGCAATAATAGTTGTAGTTGTAGGCTTCTCCAGGTTACAAGGATTAAGGATACTAATTACCTCTGGTAATGGTGAATGACCAGGATACCTGTTAATGGTGAATTACTTTAAGGATATAACACAAAGTAAAGAAAACAGGAAACTATTTAGCCAGCACATTAGGTCTGCATACCCAAGGGAAGTTCTTTTTTTCCCCCTAGCCAATACTTACAAACTGCAGATTTCATGTGAAAATTCAGATACCTAGTAATACTAGGTGTGTAGTCCTATGATGGCCTGAAGCAAAGTAGTCCCTCACTTCTCCAGAGAGGTCTGTGATCTCAGGTTTGCCTAGATTAGTGCCAATCCCTACTGTTAGGCCTGGGCCTGGGACCTCCACATATAAGGCTGTTCATGTTGCCCACTGCACAAGATACCCAGCTATGGAGCCAAATAGGGGCTGAATTCCTACAACCTGCAATGGCGTTTCTTATAGCCCGACAGGCTTGGGACTCGGGTGTCCTTCTTTTCTCCTTTTCTCTACCTGTTCCTCCTTCCTCCTCTGCTAGAACCACTGACATTTTTTTCATTTCATGGCTTCTGCTCACCCGTAGCTTCTACTGCTTTACAACTTCTTCTTTTGGCCTCGTCTTTATGTGTCTCTGTACGTCGGTCTACACCACCCATGTTCAGCAAGGTCAACTAATTTGCCAAAGATCACATAATTAGTAGGTGATGAAGCAGCATTTGAATCAAGGTTATCAGTTGTTGGAAAATTATTACTATACAAGTTAGCATGCGGATACTGAAGGTAAACTTCTTACTCAGTTTTTTTTTATTAAATTCCTATGTAAATTTCCTTGGGAAAATTAGGACAAGTTTTATTATTGACTTTTATTCCTAGCAACATGCATTTAAACTAATTCATTATTTCCTAATCTAAGGAAAACTGGAAAATGGGCAAAGTTGGTCCTAGAGTGTCCCAAGGCAGTGTGTTTGTTCTGTCCCTGAGACAAAGGTTTGATTTAAGATGCATGTCGAGACTCGCCTTGAAAGCTTGATTACACCTTCTCTACTGTCCATCCCTCCTGGAAGAAGAGTGGACTCCCATTCCCACCATTGCTTTGTGGGACTCGTTATCTCCCTCAGACCCCTAAGCTAACCGTGGGATGGTCTGCCTCCGTTTCTTCAGTGTCCCTGTCTGAGAGACTGGAAATAGATTAAACTCATACAGTGACCTGACGTCTCAGTAGGTTTGGTGTGGTGTGCTAAGTCACTTCAGTCGTGTCCAACTCTGTGTAACCCTATGGACTGTAGCCTGCCAGGCTTCTCTGTCCATGGGATTCTCCAGCCAAGAATACTGGAGTGGGTTGCCATGCCCTCCACCAGGGTATCTTCCCGACCCAGGTTATCAAACCAGCATCCCCTGCATCTCCTGCATTGCAGGCGGATTCTTTATCACTGAGCTACCATAGTAGGTTTCACTTACATATTATTCTCTCAAGCGTCTAATCAATTCAACCCAGTGAAACACTTCCTATAATGCTTTAGAGTGGCAGAAATTACAAGCACAACAAGTTACAGTTGGTCACGGATTTTTGCCCCCTTTAAATTGTAGCACTCTGTTGTCTGCCTGTTGTGTTGTGCCTCCTTAAAGCAACTTTCTTAAGAAGAGAAAGACCATAATCTACTTTCTGGAGCATTAAGAGAATTGAGTTCTCAGCCGAGCTTTGCCTCTTGCAAGGCTTGTTAGCTTTAGGCAGTAGCTTAACTTTGCTCTTTGCTGACTTGTCCCTTAACTACCTCCCTGAGTGTTGTTGACTGGTCTTGCCTACTTCATAGGCAGTGAGGCTCTGGATGGGGAAGGTGAGCCTAGTAAAGCTCTAGAAGTTTTGCCAAAATAAGATACTATCAAAGGTGGAGACATGTTCAGCAGCCTTCTTGTGGAAACACATTGCCCTTGACCAAAAGGGATGCCACAGGATGGGGTGTGTGAATTTGACTCTGTGCCCATCATGTGGTACCTCCACTAGGTATGAAGGCTTCATGTCACAAACTTGTTTTAGGTTTTTTTGTTTCCAAAATCTCATTTCTTTTAATTGCTATATTGTAACTTACCCCTAGTGTATTTTGTGCAGTCACCTGGTACAAAGGCATTCGAACACTTTTAGGAATTATAAGTACGTACTGATGCTTTGAGCAGAGAGGCTGGGTGTGGCCAAGATTTTGAGATGTGTTCAAATGCAAGAAGCTCTTAAAACATAAAGTGTTCTAGAACTGCAGGAAGCTAAAGCTAAGAGTTTTTCCCTTGTGGAAGGTCAAAAATAAGGCTGTTTTCAGGAAAGTGCTTTTTCTTGTGTGTTGCATCATTAGAACCTGTGTAGGAGAGCAGTTTAATAGGAACCATGATATCAACAGTAAGATACTTATTAATGTAATAGGCAGATGCAGAGCAGAATCTGCAAACCCTCGGTAGGCACACAGATGACTGAGAAGAATTTGGTCATCGAGATCTTACTGAGAGATGCAGTTCCACTCCATCATCTGGGATGGATTACGATTTCTGAACAAGACCATCTTTCTAAATGCTCATGGACTCTGCAGAAAGTATGAGGCCAGAAAATGAATAATTCCAAAGTCTTACTATTAGGTTACTAGACAGTTCTAGATTAGCTGAGTAAATGCCTTCTGAAGCAGACCCTGTAATTATTCAGACTCTAATTCTTTTCCACCTTTCCTGCTTTCTTCTTCTTAACTTTTGTAACCTAAAACCACCTGAACTTGTTTACACAGAGTGAGAGGGAAAATATTTACTTAGATTATCCGTGGAACCTTGACTTTCCTGCCTTGTGGATAAATCATTCCCCTACTGGAGGAAGTGGGAAATTACAGATTGGACCACATAGATACATCTTCTCCTCCTAGTTCCATCCAAGTGAGCACCAAATAGGTATCATTACCTGAAATTTTAAGGTTGGTTTAATAGCTAGGTTTCCCATTGGCTTTGAGGTCATTGCCTGTTCTCAAGTGTGCTTAGATGGACAGCACTGGAACCTCTGTGGCTGTTGAAAGTGCAGATTCTAGCCAGCTCTGACACAGGTGAGGCCCAGACACCTACACTGTTGACCAGTTTCCTGACTGATTCTTATGTACACTCAAATTTGAGACTCACAGCTGGAAGGAAAAGTATTGCAGGACAGAGATAGCAAAGGAGGTGTTCAAAATTTGGTCAAGTTATCTTTGTTGTTACGGTATTAACTTGAATATCAGGAGGTTTCATATTAAAGTTTTCTAAAAAAGAAAAAAAAATCTCAGTACATAAAAGGAAAGGTTCATATATGGGCCTAATTATAAGTATTTTGCATAATTTTCTAAGCATCTAAACAGAATGTCTTAAGGTCATGTTTATAATTATTTTGAGACTCTTTGGACTGTTTTGATTTTAAAATGAGTAATAAGAAAGAATCATCAATTAATGGAGGAAGAAAGAAATTTCTTTATATACAGTCCTTACTCTTTACCATTGTCTCTTTAAAAAAAAGTTATCGTAACCTTACTATGCATGTTCTCAAGTCTGTTCTTATTTATCAGTATTAAGAATATACCCAATAGTGTTAAGTTTTTTTGCTGTACTTTCATTCAGTAAGTATGGTATCATTTTTCTAATATTGCACACGGGGGAAATACCACATAAGAAACCTGTTCCCGGAGTTCCCTGGCGGTGCAGTGGTTAGGGTTCCATGCTTCCACAGCAAGGGGAGTAGATTCAGTTCTTGGTTGGGGAACTAAGATCCCACGGGGCACATGGAATAGCCAAAAAAGGA